GTGTTGTTATTTCTTATCTGACCTCTTCACAAAAGGTAACAAAAGTATGACGCAGATTCTTTTTTTTACATCGTGTAATAATTGATTTTGACTACCTGGAAGAAAACTCATAGAAGGTCAAATATGGTATATTGAAGACTTTCATAAAAATATTTTAAATTTATTTTAAATTTATTAATACCATATATTTTAAATTTAAAAATACCATATATTTTAAATTTATAAATACCATATATTTAAATTTATGAATATAGGGTATAAATATAAATATTGAATAATTTTTAGCTGACTAGGTTAAAAGTTTCAGAAAAGTAGTGTCAGTGTAGAGAAAAACTGGTACGATTTTTTCCGTTATTAAAACTAGATGACAGAAGTGCACGATGACACCCAATTTAATTCTTCTGTAATTATTTTATTTTTTTAGCAAAATTTAGTTTCGATCTTTTATTTTTTTATAGATTAACTAGGTGATCACTAACTAAAAAGAAAAAAATTCAAAAAAAGGGATTTTTTCAATTTTTGGAATGTTTTCCGACTTTTTGAATATTTTCAACTGAATGAGTGTATTCATTCGGCTCTTCTTGTTGAATTTGTGAACTCACTTGTAACCGCTGTCAGTAATGGTGATAATGACCAGCATTCAGAAAATTGAGTCATCGATTTGCTGATGTTTTGTTTAGGAAGCCGTTGAGCATTGGTTGGTTCACTTTTAAGTGAATTCGTTGGTTATTTGCCTTTTTAAGTAACTGACACCCTGAACAGCAAAGATATCCGCCAATTAAAAATATTTACAACGGCCTTTTTACCCTACAAACTCTGAAAAGGTTTTAAAGGAGATTTAAGCGCCTTAAAATCCGGCTTTGGGCTCGTAAAACGGATTACTTAGGCTACTTTTTTGGGTAAAGAGTTCACAAATTGCAATGGCACAGAAAGTGTATTTTGATTGAGTTTTTTTGGTTTTTCGAGAAACCTCAAAAAATAAACATAGGCTATTAATAAATAATAGGTTACTATTTGATCAAAACATCATTATGGTTCTGCACAAGTTTACTGATCAAATAAAAAACAAACTTGAGAAAATCAAATACAAAAATTACAAACCTGTGAAACTTAAGTTTTTTCACGGCTGAACTTTTAAATTTCAAAAAAGGCAAAAAAAGTGGTTTCATTAGTTTTTGGTTCAATTGAACAAGAAATAAAAATCATTTTTTTTAAAAGTCTCAGAAATTTGATTGCAAATCCCCGTCTGAAAACTCTTTATGAAAATGATTTTTTAAAAGACAATTGTTTGTTGAAACATACTCGCTTAAAGCTTTGCACAGTACAGTTTAGAAACGAAAAAAGTCAAAAAGACCATAGGTATCATATTGCTACACGGCCCTAAAAAGTACATTTTTTTAATTTCCAAAATGTTCATAGCCACAGAAGAAGCTAATTTTAGTCTGTTCGATTACACTTTCGAAATACGAATGAAAATTTTGAGTGTGATCTATAAATATTCGTAAGTAGTTAAAATTGTGATAGAAATTCTCATCCCGTGGTTTATGCGTTCGAAAAAAAAGATAAGCATTCAGAAATAGCAATTGAAAAAAAGCAATGATTTTAGAATATTTAATTAATAAAAGTACAAAAGAAACAGAAATAGAAAGTACTCACGAAAGATAGAAATTGAGAGAATTTGATTTCGATATGATTTTACTGCATATTTTGGGAAGAAATGTCATGAAGAAGCCTTTTGATTGATTATTTGAATTGCAAAAAAAACAAGATTGCTCGTATCAGGGCGAAGCCCTGAATGTTCCGACTGCCTTTTAAGGTTTATGGAGCAGTAAAAAAATTAAAAAATTAAATGAAATTTAAAAAAAAATGAAAAATTTTTTTTCTAAAATTTTTTATGAAAACCATCACCCCACACGCCATATACAGTACAAAGAATCTAATTTGCTCCTTGTAGCAAACCAATTATGACAAATAGGCTTCTTTTAACCAATTTGGAACGTTTTCTAAGACGGATTAACTCTCCGCTTACGCGTTAATAGCGCGAAATATATCGCGCGTTAATTGTCCCAAATTGGCCAAAATGGCAATCTTTAAACCCCCGTAACTTTACAAAAAATGATCACAGGTGAAATATCTTTTCAGATTTGAGCTCAGGACAACAATACCTTTCGAATGATAAAAAAAAATTCCGTCAAAATTGGCTAGTTAAAAAGTCGAAATTTGTCTGAAGAAAAAAAAAACCGACACCGAGCACAAATATTCCGTTACTTTCTTACCGAAAGTCGGAACAATTATCATAAAGATTTTGTGTCGAAATTTCTTTGATATATTTTTCTTGCTTTACTGATTAATTCAGAGCTTACAGAATTTAGGTCAGTCTCAGCAAAAAGCATTCCATAAATTAAGTAAGTGAAAGCATAGTTTTTCTTTATGCTGAATTAAGCACATCTCTTTTTGCCTATAAAAAATTTTATAATTTTTTTGATGGTTTTTTATTAAATTTATGAATTTCATGCACTTAAATTTTCTATAACAATATGGGTTAGTTCCATAGCAACAGCCTAATCAAATTGCTTCGATGAAACGTGCGATTATTTCTGTGGGTGGTGTTTTCTTTCGACCTACTCCATGGAGATGCCACCCGACAGGCTGAAGCATTTTTGGGATTATCCTAAGCCGAACTGATTCGTAAACGTACATTTTCATAGAATGTCTGCTCATAACTTTTGGCTTGAAAATAAAGTTAATATTATAACGTTACAGCTAACTGTTTCGACCATTGTTTAGAGGCACCCAAAAAAGCAATGATTTTAGAATATTTAATTAATAAAAGTACAAAAGAAATATTTTCACGAAATTGAGAGAATTTGATTTCGATATGATTTTACTGCATATTTTGGGAAGAAATGTCATGAACAAGCCTTTTGATTGATTATTTGAATTGCAAAGAGAAACAAGACTGCTCGTATCAGGGCGAAGCCCTGAATGTTCCGACTGCCTTTTAAGGTTTATGGAGCAGTAATAAAATTAAAAAATTAAATGAAATTTAAAAGAAAATGAAAAAATTTTTTTCTAAAATTTTTTATGAAAACCATCCCCCCACACGCCATATACAGTACAAAGAATCTAATTTGCTCCTTGTAGCAAACCAATTATGACAAATAGGCTTCTTTTAACCAATTTGGAACGTTTTCTAAGACGGATTAACTCTCCGCTTACGCGTTAATAGCGCGAAATATATCGCGCGTTAATTGTCCCAAATTGGCCAAAATGGCAATCTTTAAACCCCCGTAACTTTACGAAAAATGATCACAGGTGAAATATCTTTTCAAATTTGAGCTCAGAACAACAATACCTTTCGAATGATATAAAAAAATTCCGTCAAAAATGGCTAGTTAAAAAGTCGAAATTTGTCTGAAGAAAAAAAAACCCACCCCGAGCACAAATATTCCGTTACTTTCGTACCGAAAGTCGGAACAATTATCATAAAGATTTTGTGTTGAAATTTCTTTGATATATTTTCCTTCTTTACTGATTAATTCAGAGCTTACAGAAATTAGACCAGTCTCAGTAAAAAGCAGTCCATAAATTAAGTAAGTGAAAGCATAGTTTTTCTTTATGCTGAATTAAGCACATTTCTTTTTGCCTATAAAAAATTTTATAATTTTTTTGATGGTTTTTTATTAAATTCATGAATTTCATGCACTTAAATTTTCTATAACAATATGGGTTAGTTCCATAGCAACAGCCTAATCAAATTGCTTCGATGAAACTTGCGATTATTTCTGTGGGTGGTGTTTTCTTTCGAAATACTCCATGGAGATGCCACCCGACAGGCTGAAGCCTTTTTGGGATTATCCTAAGCCGAACTGATTCGTAAACGAACATTTTCATAGAATGTCTGCTTATAACTTTTGGCTTGAAAATAAAGTTAATATTATAACGTTACAGCTAACTGTTTCGACCATTGTTTAGAGGCACCCAAAAACTTATGATATAGTGAGCTCAAAAACAATATACAGTTAGAGTTGTAATTTAGAAGTGAGTATTTTGCTAATTTGAACTAAATAATGGTCATTTTTCGCCAGTTTTCTATTAAAATGTATGGCCAATGCGCCAAAATGAAACGCTTCCAACTAAACGGAGGTAGGTAACTGTTCTAATTAAGCTGAAACTTGCATACACATATGTCAATTGTTCTTGATTTTGCACGTAAGGGAACAATAACAACACAAACGGTCAAACAAGAAGTTTTGAAAAAGATTTTGAAAAAACTACTGCAGATAACGTCACGTGCAGGCAAAACATTCAATAATATGTCGGAAAGCAAATAACTCCAAAATAAAGATTTTTGGCAAATACAATGTCTCGCGAAATCCGTAAAGAGCTAAAAGGTTTAAGCGACAAGCAAACAGATCAAAGCATTAAGCTAGCATTTGGAGCTGCCAAAAATTTCAAGTGAAAAAGATGATATTATAAGCGTCCAGTTAAAATTTATCAAAACCAAGTTTTCGCCTCAATTCATTTTGAAACATTTTTTCTGCAGATTCATTAGCTGCTCACAAAATCAAAAATGAAACCACAAAAGACCAAAATTAGTGTAAATTTCCTGAAAAAATCTACAGAAAAATTCAACTCGACCTACACAAATGTCTTCACTACGATCATTGACTCCATTGAACTGATGTTTGATTTAAAGTTTGATAAAAAGTTGGTGTATAAAAAATTCGGATCTATCTAACACGCCTTTCATTCATTAGTTTAGTTTAGTCTAATTATCAATTAGTTAAATATCGAAAATTCAGATTTCAGCAAAATTCGAATTATAAATAGAACGCTCTAGTGCTTATTTACTGCTTTTATTAACAGGCATGGCAATTCTTCTGCAGATAACATCGGGGGGGTTAGAATCAAAATTTCATAAGAAGTTCAAGAAGTTCATTATTTAAATAAAATAAGACAAATGTTAAATTACAAATTGACATTTAACTTCACACAGAATTAAAGCTATATTGCACTGATACAAACTTTGACTTGAAAATTTCCAATTATTTAGTTTAACATTCAACTCATGAATAAATTCAATTACCTTCATGCATGTTGGAACCACATTTAAGACATGGGATTAAAGTGATCAAGTCTGTTTTGAATGCAGAGTTAGTAAAATAGTAAATAAAAGGGTTCACTGCAAACGAAATTGTATAAAGTACTAAGCTGATGTCATTCAGCCTCGGATTTACCACAAGGCTCGTGTAGCCTTTCAAAAACCGAATGGCAGCGTTCGGAATGTTCAACCCGACGAACACGCAGCAAACTATCCAAAGAGTCACTGTCGTTTTCCGAGCTCGTTTTTCCGAGTTTATTCTAGCTTGAGTCGGCGCCGCAACTTGACTCTTTTGCGAGTTCGACAGCAGTTTTACACCCGAGAACCGACTGGCCTTTCTCCGAGTGAGCTCGTCGCCTAGATGCGTTCGGGTTGAACCTGACTGCTTCGAGTCGCGTTTTCCCAGGAGGTTAGACGAGTGGGAGTGTGCGTGGTTGCCGACCATAGATCCGTCGGCTTGGTGCTCCACCTCCACCGGGTGTTCGTCGTCGTCCGAGTCGTGCTGGTGATTTCCACTAATTGAAGTCGAGATCAGCCTTGGAAGGTTGTCGCGCGAGGGTTTTAGGCTGTTGGCGTTCAGTAGAGACGGGTTGAAATCAGTTGATGTTGTCAATTTAGGTTTTGGCGTTGTCTTCGGGTCTTCGACGACGGCGGTGTTGATTGACATATTAGAGTGATGGAACTCGACCTTGATAGTTGTGATTGTTTTGCTTCTGAAAAAGATAAAATTTAGCTTAAAACTACAAATATCAACATCTCCGATTTTAAAAAAAGTAAGAAAAAATTAGTGCTAGAAAACAGATTGTTAATTGAATGAAGTTATTTCCATTGAGTGAAAAATGTCTGTTGTTCAAAACTTCTATGTTTCGCCTTTCCGTAATAGTTTCTAAATTTCTTTTAACCGTTAACTTAATCAAAGTCAATAGTTTGTGATATTACTGGTATAACGTTTTTCCAGCTATTTCATTTCAAAAATATGATTTTTGAGAAATATCAGGTTTTGATTTTTTTTACAAACCTTGTAGAGTTTTTAATTGAATGGTACTGTTGATTTATCTGACATCTTTTTCAAAAACAATGAGAACTTGAAGTGTGTGCTTTATTTAAATTGACTTACCGATTCTTTCATATTATCAAAGTTTTCTTATCCCCATCACTCATTGCGTATGATTAAATTTTATGAACCAATTACAAAAGGTACTCACCTATCCATGGTTGGCTTAGAGCTCCCGCTGGGTCCAGCCTCTTCGGGTAAATGCAACCTCTGGACACGACTAGGACCGAGATCTGGACCAGAAGGACTAGAGCTACCCTCATTCAAGTTCAACTGAGATGTACTCAACTCATTTACACGTTCTGCATTCTTGTTGTTTTGGTTGTTTTTGCTGCTGCTGTTGTTGTTGTTGTTGTTGTTGTTGTTGTTGTTGTTGTTGTTGTTGTTGTTGTTGTTGTTGTTGTTGTTGTTGTTGCTGTTGGTGGTGGTGTTGTTGTTGTTGTTATTGGTGGTGGTGGTGTTGTTGTTGTTGGTTAGGGCGGCGATAGCAGTTAGTTCAATGGTGGATCCGCCGTTGCCGTTGCACTTTCCACTTATCGGGTGATATGCGTAGGTCTCCTCCTCCGCTATCAGCGGTGGGCTTTTGTGGCTTTTGTAGACCAGAGAGTCTTTGTTCTGACTGCGCAGTCTGCTAACCACTCTAAAAGGAGCATCCCAAAATGAATACCTTCCAAAGACCCGAAAAACAACCAGAACATGTCTTCAAAACAGACGGTGACAGGCTTTTTTTTAGTCCACAGTAGAATATTTCTTGATTTTTCATCATTTTAAAATGATCCTGTGGTGTCAAACGAAAAAGTTCAGAAAAATACAGAAAATTTTATTTTATCTTTATTATTCCGACCACTCCGATCAAAAAAATGGGAAGAAAATACGGCATAATAAGACTTTTCTGGCACAATCTTCGGCTCCTCAATAAAAACTTGTAGGGTTCAATGCAACTGGTGCAAAAATAAAGAACTTCATCTGGCCCCTACATGCAAGAACGATCCTAAAAAGCATACCGGAATTGAATTTCGAATTTGGTCTGAATGACAAACTCTATCCATTCATAAAAAATTGTTAAACCAAAGAGAACAAAAAATTACGAACCCAAATTAGAAATCAAAAACATAGGGTCACCCGACAAGTTGCTCTGAAATGGTTTAATTTTTAGTCATATGTTTTGTTCTTTTCGCTTGAACTAAGCAATTTTGTGGAATATCGGACAAGCACAGCCCATTTTCTATGTCAAAAGTCTACCCTAGCCAATCCCTAGCAAATTGTTTGACTTCTTTTAACCATTTTTTTATTTGCAAACGGGTTCCACAGAATTGAGGAAAATTGACAACTTTATTTTTGAACGCAGATTTTTAACGCTTTTGATTGGTTGTCGATCTCGACAAACGGTCGCCTTACCAATAGAAAAATTTCGAACTTTTTGCTCTTCGGACTCATATTTAGGAGAGATGGATAACTAAGCTGTAAGCGAAAACTGATTTCCGCGGTGACTTTGGTTCAAGTTTGTTAGCTTACCATTTAATGTTCCGACTTTCTAAACATTTATGCCTGTTTAGCATGCTTTAGACGGGTTTATATATAACCTGCGTGTGTTTCAACTACGGCCCGCATCCAAATTTGGCCATACGTAATCGATTATAACAGAATAGAATGTTAATTTTTCGTTATAATTGATTAAAATTCCCAAACTATGTGTTTAAAAGATGTGTTTAAGAGATCTATCATAATTGCGATATTTTCCATGAGATTAAAATCTTGTATAATCCATTTAAATTGATTATAGTTTATACCAAAAACACTAAAATATAATTGTAATCGAATATTATTGATAATAATCGATTATAAACTCTTATTGTTGTCACACCAATGAATCTTTTATTTATATCCTAATCTTACTTTTTTCGGTCATTAGTAGAATCTTTAAATATGAGATGTCTTGTCACATTTTGGTTCACCTGAGCACAAAAGTTTCACCACGAAACAAAAGTTTCATAGAGATTCTTTTATTTTAGTTAAAAGGATCCCGCGGTAAGTGAAAAAAAAAATTATTCCAAAAAAATCATGGAACTTGAACAATGTGCTAATATTTAGGTGATTAAAAACTATAATGTGCTTCATGAAACAATTCTATGAAAAAACAAATTTGAAAAATATTAGAGACAAGCAATTCAGAATTCAAGACGCAGACAAATTGTGCAAAGAAAAAGGATTACAATCAAGAATAATCGATTAGAACGAATTTTGTGCTTAACAAATAAATTGTAATTAAAACACGACTGCTCGTATCAAGGCGAAGCCCTGAATGTTCCGACTGCCTTTTAAGGTGGAGCAGTAATAACATTGAAAAATTAAATGTAAAAAAAATGAAAACTTTTTTTTCTAAAATTTGAAATTTTTTATGAAAATCATCCCCCCACACGCCATATAAAGTACAAAAGGATAAATTTCGCTCCTTGTAACAAATCAATTATGGCAAAAAGCTTCTTTCAACCAATTTGGAACGATTTTAAGACGGATTAACTCTCCGCTTACGCGTTAATAGCGAGAAATATATCGCGAGTTAATTGTCCCAAATTGGCCAAAATGGCAATATTTAAACCCCCATAACTTTACGAAAAATGATCACAGGTGAAATATTTTTTCAAATTTGAGCTCAAGACAACAATACTTTTCGAATGATATAAAAAAATTCCGTCAAAAATGGCTAGATAAAAAGTCGAAATTTGTCTGAAGAAAAAAAAAACCCACCCCGAGCACAAATATGCCGTTACTTTCGTATCGAAAGTCGGAACAATAATCGATTAAGTTTGTTTTCAAAGAGAAAGATTAAAATGGATTATTAATTGATTATAATAGGTTATTTCTCAGTTTTACGAAGTTTGGTTCTAAAACGTTTGAAACGGGATGCGGGTGTTTTTTACTATGAAGAAAGAGCTTTTAATTCATTTCAAGTTGCTGATCTAGTTTTTCGCTAAAACACTGAAAGAATGTCGACTAAAATCTCTGTGCTATTTATTTGTAAAGCGACAAAAAATTCTTGATATTTCAAAAATGTCCTATAAAACAAACAACTTGATTACCAATTTGCACACTTTTTTTATATCAAAAAAGACAATCGTGCCGAGTTTTTTGTGCCCATTTTCAAAAAGAGAGGCTCTTTCACGCCACTCTGAGGAAAAAAAGACCAATGTTGTTGACATACTGGGTCGCCGCCTCTATTGCAATAGCGCGATTACCGCGCTGGACTCGAACCGTTTATCATATATTAAACATTTGGCCCAATCATCAAGGAATCACGGGAAAATGGTATTAAAGTAGACACCAAACTCAGCCCGGGCAATTCATTCTGTTAAAATTGTAAAAGAAAACATTTAAAAGTTTTTTTTCAGACAAATTATTATTGAAACAAATATCGAACAAGGAAAATCAAGTCCTGAGCATTATGCATTACACGCCTTTGAAGGAATTATTTTTGATTTTTCCTGACATAATTGTAAATCCTATCTTTTCACATTCGTGATTACTAATCAAGGTTATTGTTTGAAGAATTTTGAAAGAAGAGATGGAAAAAAATAATCTGAAGCTCAAAATTGGTTGATGAAAATTGCTTAGAGCAATCTAAAATATAAAAAAACAGGTACGGCCAATTTTTAAGCCGTTTTGCATCGCTAAAACGCAAATTTAAACCGAAGCCTTCTCTACAAAATGTTAGGTTTGATCAAATTTCATGGAAACTTTCAACACGATTAAAAAAGATATTCGATCTTCTAAAATTAGTTTCCAATTTTAGTTTATTGGCAGATTAAAAAAAAGAGATTCGATTTTCTAAAATTAGTTTCCAATTTTAGATTATTGGTGGATTTTAAAGTTTCAAAAACCGTTTTTTTTAAATTCAAAAGTAGTCTAATCCGATCGCATAAATCACAATGTTTCCAATTTCCACAACAACTAAATCTCCTTTTCCGATAATGAAACTTCCTTCTCGAGTAAAATGAGACACATAATACTCTTTAAGCGATGATTAACAATACTTAAAGTCCCCTCAGTAAATAATTGCATAGGAGAAGATGACGCTTAATCACCTTATGAGAAGGATGGGGGAGGAAAGCGATTTGTAACTCAATCAAATTTGATTGCAAATTTAACAAGGAGATATCAAAAATAATCCTTTTTAGCTACATTATGCAGTACAAAACACGACCGCTTAGAGATGAACTGTTTGAACTGTTTTGAGAGAAATTATTTTACTTCTTTCTTTTTCTCAATAAAAGAATTTTCAGGTACAATCAATTTAGGTCAACCCCAAGCGGAAAATCATTATCTTCAAGCATGGCTTTACGGGAAAAAATTCCATTTAATAGTATTTATTTTTGCTAATTGAATATTTCTAAAGCATGTTTTTGTGTTACTTTTCAATGCTTTTTAGGAACAGACAGCAATAAAATTGAGTAAATAGTTGGAAAACTGGAAAATTATTGACCAGATTTTTGAGTCATTTTCTAAGAAAAATTGAGAAATTAAAAAGGCGATGACCTTGTTCTGATGTTTGAAAGAGGTTTACATTAAAAAAGCGAAGTTTTGTTTTTCTATTTTGCCTAAAATTAAGCCCGAGTAGCATCTGCTATTTTCTAAACTTTCAACCCTTGTAAAATAGCAAACTAAAATTGTATCGGCAGAGGCGGAGCTATACAATTTTTTTTAGGTCGACCAAATTGTGTTTTGCCCAAAACACCACTATTAGGGCCCTTATTTAGCACCGCAGATATTAAAAAAAACACACGTCAAAATGCCGTTTGTGGTTTTCTTTTGAAATGTTTCGACCAATTAGTTGCATGTTTTTGGCACGCGCTTTCTGATCAAAGTTGATCAAATGTATATATATATCAGCGCCAACGAAAAAAAGCTGTTCTTTACCCCTTTTCCCCAAACAGTTCAAGTCGGCCTTTTTCTAAATTGTCTTACGTGTTTTTATGGCTGAGCGATTGTAGTGCTAAATTGAAAATCTAAGTTTTTCACAATGCAAAATTTTGTTACAAAATGACAAGGTAAAATCAATCAATTTTCAAAAACTAAAATTGAAATGGAGCTAGTGAAAAAATTTGAGCTAGTGAAAAAACAGCAAAAAATTTTAGGTCAGACGGCCAAAAATATATGTTTCCACATAGTCACCACATCTTTCTAATTTTGCTACTGCTCTAAATAATGTTTTGAGGCTCTAAATAATGTTCTAAACAATGTTTTTTTTTATTCGTCCGAACATGCTAACCCACATTAGCAAAACTAAGGTTGTCATCATTGCATTGTCAATTATCAATCATTGCAATCAATTATCGCAAGTAAAAATGCGTTTTGAAATAGATTGTTTTTTAAACACCACAAATTGTGTCCTATTAGTTATCAAACCGATTGTATTCAATTGTATTTTGGCACTTAAATTAATTGATTCGATATTTACATTAATTCATTTTTAGTGTACATTTCGATACGTAAAATCTGCAAATTATCGTCAGTTTATATACTCATTTAAAACCGATTTTTATTTTATACGTACTACAGACAGATCTTATACATATTTTATATAAACAAAAAACAAGTTATATACAGATTATATACAGATAATATGCATAATATCTACAAATT